ATATATATATATATATATATATATATATATATATATAATTCTTGACTTATTTTCTATAGAGAAAAAATTTAATTTTTCATTTTTCCTTATAAGTGCTCTCTTAGTTTCACTGGGTTAGCTGGGATGTGGTTGGTCAACTGGTGGAGAACAGAAATTACAAGGTGGCCATGTTTGTCAGCACAATTTTCTATATTAGATTGTGTGTGTGTTTTTGCAAACACTCATCATTGAATTTTTGTAGATTTTAATCTACAAATCACTGATACTTCATTTGCAAGAATGAAACTTAAATTTGTTTTATTTGTACCAGTTTTGATGCTCCCCCCCACACACTTTTGAAAATTTTAAATGTTTTTACTGAATTAAGCAATTCCAATCTTCAAAGAAAATAATTTGATTACAAATATGAATTTTAAAAAAAAAAAAGTATTTAAAAGGGTTTTATGAAAAATTAAAAAGTTTCTTTGGCAGTTTATCTTTAGAAATTAATTGTTAGTTATAATCTGCATATTGCTTTTATTATAAGGTGGTAATTCTAGAAATTGTTTCCTGTGAATATTTTTTCAGCAATGTTTAACCTTTGTGCCCAAAAAAAAAAAAACAGTGTGTCCAAAAGACAGTCTATTCCCTTGACATCACTATTACTGTATGCACTTTTGACTCCCTTGGCAATGTTTATTTAAAAAATTATAAAAATATGTGAACCAAGTACAATCCAATATTTATTATTTACCTTTTATAAACATTTATTATTTAACATTTCGTAAATAAATAAATTTGGAAAAAAAATCTTTTAATTAAACAAAAATATAAAATTAGCAATTACAATCCAATATTTATTTTCTATGAAAACAAGTTTTTCATTCATAATTTTATAAAAATACCAGTTAACCATTGTTGTCAATTCTTAAGAATAAAGAAAATAAATCCACTTTCATGTTTGGGTTTCATTAAAATTCTAATCATCATTTTTTAAAGGAATAAACATAATCAAGGGAGTTAAGTGTATACAATAATGGCAGTGTCAAGGGAATAACCATCCTTTTTGACACAGTTCTTTTGTGGGCATGAAGTGCTTTTTCTTTTCTTTTTTCTTTTCTTTTCTTTTTTTTGTGACTGTAGTCTGATGCAGGCAAAGCTACGTTCCTGTATTTTCCCCAAGTGCATTTGTATGAAAATGATATAAACTATATACTGTTTCTAACAGTTACAGTAAATTGCATTTGAGATTAATAAATAAAAAAAGTCCTATAAAAAATATGGAAATGAATAACAAAAAGTAGATTTGTATAAAATAGGCAAAGAACAGAGGAAATTGATGTTTGTTACATGAACTTAAAAGTAGAAAATTAAAACTTAAAAGTGTATGTGAATGTTACACAGAAAATTTATGGTTTAACTTGAAAACATCACTTTACATAAAAATAAAATGTATTGTAAATGTTTGTAAACATTTTAAAAATTTGTTCACTCAGTTAAAAATGTCTTTTTTTACAGGACATTGCTAATGCATGGAAAGGCCTAGAAGCTGCAGAGAAAGGTTTCGAGGAATGGTTGCTCTCTGAACTGCAAAGGTGAGCATTTTTTTCTTTCCTCCCTGGGTCTATGTGATATATATATATATATATATGGGTGGCATTTTCTCATTTATGCAAATTTGGTTGGTGACTAACAAAAATATCTTTAAAATTTTCATTTATATCTTTTTCATCTGTTTCAACCATTTTCCTAGTTTTCAGGAGTGATTTGAACATAATCCATTATCAAATTAAAGTTGTGTTTATAGGTATGGTGATTTTCTAAGTGTAACTTAAATGTGGCACAAGGCTGAAATAATGGGGCACCCAGTGAGGATTGAACTCACTTTTTTTTTTTTTTTTTTTTTTTTTTTTTTTTTATCCCTTGACCTGTAGTGTCATAGGGACACCATGTGTACTCCAGCCACAGTAGAAGTGGTGTTTCTTGGGCAAGATAGCCTGATGCAGCCCAACCTTCTCTAGGCTGGTTTTGAATTCAGTTTTTCTTTCTAGACCAATTGCCACCTAAAGAAAACTCAGTCTGTCCTGCTATTTACTCATAGCTGAGGGGGAGAAGAAGAGGATTCATACCCTTTCCCAAGGGTATTAGTACATAAGTGAATGTAATGGATCCAACTGGAATTCAAACTCGGCTATCCGATTCTTCAATCTGAGTCACTACCCATTACTCCACTGTGCCTCTCCTGAATTCATTACTTACTCATAATTGTTCAAGCAAGACAAGCTTGCTAACCATTACACCACATAGAGCTGCCCATTCTGTTTAAAATTATGCATAGTGTTTATTTGGTGGCTTTTGTGTATTGTCTTCGCATATCATTTGGTGTCTTGTAGTTTGCTTTTCAAGTGTCACATTTTCTGTGACTGCATTATGTGATTGAATATTTGAAAGCAATGACTCTTGTACAGCCATTTGGACAACTCTAAAAATTCTTAGAGGTCACCCATTATTATTACCCTGTTATAATTGTGCTTCATTAGTTCACACGACTATTACACCCTGCTAATATCTCATAAATAATGGACTATTCTGTTTTGATCTCATTGGAAAGAGGGGAAAACATACTATTTGCTTTCAATGAGAAAATCAAAGACAGACAGAAGCAGTGAGAGAGATAATCAGATTAAGCAGATAAGAACAGATATTACACTTTGGTCTTGGCTGAAAATCAATTGTGTTTTCTTGCCACCCTACACTGGCATAATGTGACACAAGGTCAGTTTAATGTGGAGAGATTGAGCACATGCACCTGAGCCAAGTCCAAAAATAGCCCAGTCCCAACAACCGACAGTTGTGCTGGTATCAGTATTACTACCAATCCCCCCATCTTTAGTACAATGAAGGAGGTACTTCCATGGGCAGCTGTTTCCTAAGACCGAGTACCTATCGATATTTTCAGTTTGACTCTTGTCTACAGACAGACAGTTGAGAGATGAAATTAACTTGCCCATGAGCAGATCCCAGTGAAAAGTCTGAAAAACTATGGCAACTGCAATAATTGCATCATTTTTCAGATGCACAATATCGAACAACAGAAACCAAGTAAAACAATCATTAACAATCCAGTTACCATAAATAAAATAACATTGTCTGCTGAATTATTTTTAAATTATTATTAAGAGAATTTTTATAAGAGAGGGATTTGGCTAGTTATTATTAATTTTGATGACTATTTACTTTCAACTTAATTTTGTACTTGCTTTTGATTGCACCTATAACCAGTAAGGTCATAAGAAAACAGGTCAGGAATCTGGTGATATTTGAATTCTTGTCTGTCTTTTTTTGTTTTTTTGTTTTTTTTTGTTTTTTTTTTATCTCTGAGGGAAACCTGGTGAATACTCAGCTGCTTTTACTACTAAGCTACATAATGTCATTGCAGAATATGGTCTTCATAATGAAATGAGGTTAAAGGTTAGATTTGGTCTTCTACAAAGTTCTTGCAGCTTCACTATGTCTCTGAGTCTTAAACCTGAAGCTAAAAAGACATGGGTTCAAATATCAAAAATAGCTTAGCTTTTATTTATGATTTGGCAGTGCCTATTTACTGCTCTATATTAACAGCTTGAGTACATTTGCTACAAAAAGAAATAAAAAAAAAGTAAAGATGAAAGTAAAAGTAAAAAATGAATAATGCTAGATAAAGCATCATCAAAAAAAAAACATCCAGATATTATTATTAATACTACTAATACTACTACTACTATTAATGGAAATGAAGCAATTGAAATTAAAAAAAAAATAGACAAAAATTAATAATGATTAACAATGCTTCATGTAATATGTAATATATAATACAACTGTTATTTCTTAAAGGATCCATTGCAAACTTAAGAAGATACTGTTCTCTTTATACAAATATCTTCATTGACAGTTTTGTTTCTTTAATACTTGAACAAAGTTCAAGTGACACTTAAACTTGTTAAGTTCTGACATGAAATACTTTGTTGGACTCTTGTAATAGGAAAGGTGTATTTTTCTTTCTTTTTTTTTTAAAATTTTTACATTTTTTTTCTGCTCATTTATGCAGAAAAGTTTAAACATGTTTCTGATTTATTAAATACATTCTTGAAAGTATGTTTTTGTTGGAATAGCTTTTGGTATTTTGTGTATTTCAAATCTTTTGCTCTACCATAATTTTTCTTGTCCTGTCTTCTCAAAATGTACCAACAGAATTTGTTAGCTGAATTATTGTTATTAGATTTTCTTTTTATTATTGTTTAGGGGAGGCACTTCCAATAAGAAAAGACTTGATATCACATTCTTACTTTTCTGCTTTAGACTTGGGACTTAAACAATAGTTAATATACTAGTTGATCACAGTAGCTGATTAATTGTCCAGAGATTTGAAAGCAAGATAACATTCTTTATAGATTACTGTCACTATTATTTTCTTATTAACTCTAGAACACTAACCATGGGTATATAATACCCAGCGCAAATTTTCCTATTTTTAATTATAATTTTCAGTACCTGATTTTCTTACCTAAATGTTTTTCAGTTCCTATTAATGTTAACTCAAAGTACAAAGTTTGAAGTACCTGCATGTAAAATATTTCAAATAAAGATTTATATTTTATTTTTTGATATTTTCAAAATCGAGTAGATATACCCACGGTTAGTAGTGGTGTAACTTTAATTGATGGTTAGTCTTCTAGGATTAACATGAATTTCTTGTAACTTTGCTACAAATCATGGAATGAATTTGACCTTTTCTAAGAAAGCAATGAAGTGTTGAAGTAGGCATAGAATTCACTTGTAAAATCAGTTTATGTTTGAACTTCTCAATTGAGCTGTATTCATTATTTCTTATCTTTTTCCTTGCTTCTTTTAACTGATTTCACAATATTAGGTTGGATAAAAATAAAAGTGAAGTAAAAGAAAAAAAAAAAAGACTTCATTTCAGAATATGAGTAAAAAAGAATACTAAAAATATTAAGTAGTGCAAATAAACCAAAATGTATTTGGTTTATTTGCACTAATTCATATTTTTTAATCAATGTTGTGGAAGTGATGCTTCACAGATTTTGAAATTAGTCTAAATAAACTGAAAGATATGACACTATGACATCAAAATAAAAAAAATAAATGAATCTTACAATATTACCACCACTACTACTACTTGGCAGTCAAAAATATTTTAAGTCTGAGTGAAAAGTTTTAGATAAGCATATATAACAGACAGTATATAGATAAAAATATGTTTCCATTTCAACACACAATAAAAGCAACAGACATAGTGTCTGCCAGACAAACACATACAATTATAAAGTGATACACAACTGACCAATGAAAATCAACATAAAATTGAAAATACCAGAATTTCTGTCTTTTTCTGTTTTCTCAGTTTTTGATGAAGCTTTGATAAAAGTGAAACATGATTGATAAACATTTCCTATTTGTTCTTTATCTTGTGTGTGTGTGTGTATATATATATATATATATATATATATTGCATTTATATAGTGTTTTTTTGCTATCATTTAATTATATTTTCTTTTTTTTTTTTTTTTTCCCCAGATTGGAGAGATTAGACCACTTAGCCCAGAAGTTCCGTCACAAGTGCAGCATCCATGAAGAATGGGCTAATGGCAAAGATGCTATGTTGAATGCCCCTCTGCAGAAATGCAGTCTCCAAGAAATGAAGGTCGGTCAAATTCATTTCTCTTTAGCATAATCCAAGAACTTTCATAGAACATCCTACAAAAAAAAAATCATCTGTCTGTACACTCATAAGAAGTTGCAAGTTTTTTGATTTTTTTTTAAATGCCACATAACCTGTGCAAGTGTTTATAGATGCAAATCTTATTTGCAATGATGAAACTTTAGTAATTTTCTTGAGCCAAATGTAGAAGCATCCAAAATCAAATTCCAAATATTGTTTATTGATTGGTTTTATTGACTCAGTATGTTAGTTTATAAATCTAACAATCCAATTTTGCCCTGTAATGTTATTTTGGTATCTATCTCAATACATAGGCCTTGAAGAAGAAGCATGAAGCCTTTGAAAGTGATCTTGCTGCCCACCAAGATAGAGTGGAACAAATTGCTGCTATTGCACAGGAACTTAAGTAAGTTTGATTTCATTTCAATACTTGCGGGGGGGGGTCAGAATAAAGTGTTTTATAAAAAAAAAATGTATTTACTTGAAATGAATTATTGCACTGTTCTGTGCCTAAATTTATATATTTTAAGGAAATAGGATTCCCCCCTTTTTTTTTTTTTTCATGGGACTCATCTAATCATTTCAAACCAATTGAAACTATTTATAACAGAGCTTAAAGCATACTTTATGTTGTATATTTGAGGAAATAACAAGACATAAATACTTCTAAATTATAATTTGTTCTATCTCCTGAGTATACTGCTGTCTCGTATGTGTGCATACCACTAGGCATCCAGATAAAAGCTTTAAGTCATTTAAAACTCTGAAGACAAAGCACTGTTTCTCAGCAGGTTTATTAAAGGCCAAAAGGTTAAAACTAGAAAAATAAATACATACAAATATAATAGACAGGGGAAGATGAAATGTAAGAAAAAAGATGAAAACTGAACAGAAGTTACAAAAAATTATGTTTCTTTGTGTTTACATATGAGAAGACACCAGCATATGCTTGCTCTTTCTTTCATCTATTTGTCTCATTGACATGTTTTTGTTAAAGAAAAAAGTTATTATTTTGTCATTATAAATAGACAAAATAATTCACCTACAGAAAGGCTATCAAGTATAACGATGGTTGCCAGTAGCTTCCATAAAATTACTCAGGCATGGATGATAGTAGCCTTGTCACTAGCATGGTTATCATCTTCAACCACTTCACTGTCAATATCCACTCGAGTAGAGCCTTTAAAATCATCATTAGTCCTTATCAAAGAAAAACTGAATAAAGGTTTTGGATATTGATATGGCAATTTTTGCTTACAAAAATTGCGAGAAAATTAACATAACATGTCAAAAATTTAAATGCAATGTCAATTGCTATCTACTGTCATCCTTATTACTCTTCTATTGTTAACCGCTCCTTCATATTTTCTATTTTTCTAATTCTTTCACACTCGGTATCATGTGTTACACCTCGTGTAGAGCCTAGAAGAATTCAAAATGGTATTGGAAAATATAAGTTTAACCTTGTTCCAAAGCAGTAGTAGGTGATTTCTAGCTTAAAATACCAGAAATAACAGTTGACAAGTGTTTATTTGTAGCAACTGTCTCAAGACAACAGAATGCTGCCTAGAGCAGCAAAGGAAGAGAATTCTATGGCGACAATTTTTGCCACAGTGTTACATACCAGTGATGCTATCGTTGGAGCAAGATTTAGGAGGGAAAGAAAATATATGAACCTTGTGCTTGAACTCATGGTTTATTGTGATTGTTCCTGTGAAAACTAAGAGCTAGATGGGAAGTGGTCAAAAACATTGAATAACCTAAAATGTACCAAAACTAAAAAAGTAACAAAGAAGAAGTAAAACAATACAGATTCTGTACTCTGGTAACATAATATCACTCATGTTGTTTCCTTTTCTAAACTGTCTTTTAAACTATGTGAAAAGTTTCTTCTCTTGCACTCTTTCCTTCTGGAACTCTTTCATCATCTTGCTTTTCAGTCAACTTTGATTTTCTAAGATTTAAATGCAATGTCAATCGGCATTTTCTGTTTCTTAAATTATTCTTCTCTGTCCTTAATAATTTTTTTTTTTCTGAAATTTTTTCATACTCAGTAACCCCTTGCGTCTTAGTAGCTTTATCACCTTGGAGTGAAATGATTAAATAAAAAAATAAATAAAATGAAAAGTAGGATACAGCACACTGGTGGCAATGTAACAGATATTCATTTATTTCCTCCTGGATGTATTGATACATCTATACAAACATTACAAGTCCAACCCAACACATGATGACATTATCATTTCCAACCTCTGAATAATTCTACCTATAGAGTCAGCATCAAATTGACACTTAAAACAGTAAATAATTGAACTAATATGATAAAGCAGAACAACTTTACAGATTGATTTTATCATTAATCAAGCAGAAAGAGTGGCCTTTTGCTTCTGAATGTAATTTATGTCTGATCTTGGTTAGGCTACATTGTACTAATTTTTATTTTTTGTTTCCTTGGAAGATCTAGTGTGATGGTATCAGATTGTTCCTTAGTTCTTAGAATAAAATGCAAAGAAGAATCAGCAATATTATTGTTCCTGACCTGGCATCTTGTCTTCAGTCACTTTCCTACAACTGCAAAGTTGCTTTTCTGTGCCTTTTCTATAAATATATTCATTTTAATTGTTCGGATGTGCTCTTTGCTATGGTACCTAGACTTTATGAATTTTAAGCACAGTACTAGACTGGCAATGAGGTATCATCATTTTACAGTGGAGCTGGTTAGATGTCATCATAAGTTCTATACTAACAGTTTCTTTTCTTCCACTTCTTGCTTGTAAAACTCTCTTCCAGCTCCATGCTTTCTGGCCAACTTTGATCTTCAAAAATTTAAATGCAATGTCAATTGCTATCTACTGTCATCCTTATTACTCTTCTATTGTTAACCGCTCCTTTATATTTTCTATTTTTCTAATTCTTTCACACTCGGTAACCCCCTTTGTGTCTTAGTGGCTTTACTGCCTTGCTTGGGATGAATTTGATTTTAAAAAAAAATAAAAAAAATAATGGTTATAAAAATTTAAGATGACTTTTTATTTAGTTCAATTTCATACAGTATTTTGTATTGTCAGACAAATCACTATTGGATCCCCAAGAAAAGGGTTAAATTTTCTCTTGTATTGCTCTGTTTCTAATTTTAAACATTGATTAGAAAGCAAAGAAAATCTACAAATTAATAGCTGTGTAGGATTGTTTTATGAAATTTGTTTTCATGTTCTCATTGTAGGCAGTTTTACATTTATATCAAAACTCTGAACTTCAATGAATTTCTTAACCAATATGGAGCTTAATTTAAAAAAAATACTTTGGCTTGTGGTGAATGTTTCATTTGTTAGAAATCTTGCATTTAATGAAACTTATCAACCTTATTTCTCTTTTTCTTTTCAGCGCCTTAAATTACCATGATGTGGCCTCCGTTAACAACAGATGCCAGGTTTGTAATCTGAAGAATAAAATTCAAAATGAAAATAAAATAACTAATTATAAGAGGGACATGACTTTTCCCTTGGTAAAAACAGTGATTGGTACATTTATTAAATTAAAATGATTTAAATATGAAAAATATGGGCTTATGACCATATCATGTTGAAACACTGGGTCCTGTATGATCACCGAAGTTAAGCAATGTCGAGCCTAGTCAATGCCTAGATGGGAATATCAGGTGCTGTAAGCTTGGGTGTGAGGGTGGGGTAATGGGTAATGGCTTGGGATTGTTAATTGGAGAGCTTAGTTCCAATTGGGTTTGCCGCTTGCCAAATGAAGCATCAATTTTCAGTGCAGAAGCCTACGCAATAAAACTAGCACTGAATTTCATATCAAAAAACAAAGGAGAAAACTATATTATTTTCTCAGATTCATTATCGGTATTAACCTCCCTAAAAGGGAAAAGACTGGAAAATCCATTAATACAAAGTCTTCTATATAAACTTCATTCAATGGAAAAAGCAAAAATATCATCTTCTGCTGGATTCCTAGCCATGTTGGCATCCAAGGAGGAGATAAGGCAGATAATGCTGCTAAATCATCTTTAAAAATGACAATTGACGAAAATCTTCAAATTCCATATACAGACTTAAAATCTAAAATATATAAATACATAAGAAACAAATGGCAAAATCTATGGAAAAACCAAACCGAAATAAATTATTTCAAATTAAACCTAAAGTAGGAAAATGGGGAAATGATCTTGAAATACTCGGAAAAACAAGTTGTCATAACCAGAACACATATAGGACACACATATTTAACTCATTCTCACATATTAAAAAAAGACAAATCCACCAAAATGTAAATGTGGAAGCCTAATCACAATAAGACATATTCTATCAGAATGCAAAATCATAACTAGAATAAGACAGAAATATCTCAATGGAAAAGATTTAAAAAAGAAATATTCAAAAAATACAGACACAGAAAAAAATATACAGTTTTCTCAAGGAAATAAAAATCCTCAATAAAATATAAATAGTGTTTATATATATATATATATGCTTATAGACATATATATGCATCTATGAATGTAAACAGTAAAATACACAATCAAAACGGTCACAAAAAGCAATCCCAAAAATACAGAAAATTATGAAACCCAACAACCTTTCATCTTTTTTATACAAAATAACCAACTTAAATTCATAAATTAATAAGGCTTCGGCATAAATTGACCCAAATAGGAGTTGACATGCCGTTAAATCCAACATCCATCCATCCAATTGGGTTTGCTATATTCACTTTTGTGCAAATATGGAAAAAGTATGAATTTACCTTCCCCTAGCTATGGGTTAATCATTACTCAAAAAAAAAAAGACTAAAAAATATTTTATGGCTTTAAATAACCTGCAAAGGGTTGATAAGATGTAAAAAATGGTTCAATCAATCATGACAAAATATTGTCAGAAGAGTTAATCATTTTCAAATAATCTGCTTTGTAACTGATAGATTTTAATTATGTTTTTTTAATTTCATCAGTGCCCAAGCTGCTGTAAACTTCTCCAGAGCCCACACTGACAGCTAGGCCACTACTTCAACAACTTATCTTCCTCTTCTCTCTATAATTTTAGCTGTTCTTCCAAGTCTTCGGTATTCCTTTGTATCTTGTTGGTACTCCTGAGAATGCAGCGCTGCATGTAATTTGGGTATCACACAATATCCATATATCCTCAGTCAGGCTTGTACTTTGGAGATGTCACTCCACTCTCATCATCAAAGGGCTAAATTTTTACCAAACGGAGCATTATCATTATTTCACAAGGTGCCTTCTAGGTATTTCTTGATCAGTAAGGATTTGTTGGTGCCTTTAATATATTGTTTGAAGGCTTCTTCAGTCATGTCAGGGAAGCTTTCTCCACCAATTTCCATAGCAGCCTGAAAAATCTCCTCCACTTTTCCATCAATTATAGAGAAGCTCTTGATGTCCTTGACAAGTTGGCATCTATTTGTAAAACTTTCCTTAACTATAACAAGCCAGTTTATGAATTAAATGTTCATTTAAAATTTTTGTTTCAAAGATTTCAAGTAGTAAATATATCTTACTTTGCAAAGTGAAAGCACTTTATAAAATCATCCCTTGCTAGCTTTAAACCTCTCATCACTATTACACTCTCTGAAGTTAAGCAATGTTGAGCCTGGTTAGTACCGGAATGCAGTGATGGCCCTAGGGTTGCTGGCACCCTGGGCAAGCTGAACTTTGGTGCCCTTACAAGGATAATTTTTAAAATTTTCACAAGGAGAAAAACTGAAAATGTCACCTAACAAGTTTGTTACAATATTCAAGTTAAAAACATTTTCTAGCCTCTTTAGATCAGCAATTCTTTTTCATGGCACTTTCTACACCTATCTTTACAAGATCATTTTCTGTTTAATCTCTCTTGAGTCAAAGGTGACCACAAGTATATTTATATAAGCTTTAGTTTTGGAAAATCCCAAGCATGGAATAAAGGATTTTATCCTAAACTTATCTCTTGAAGAGAGTTCATCTAGTGCATCAGGATGAGATGCACTTCTGTCATCTACTTGCTGTTTCCTTACTATTTTTCTTATTATGACAGTTCTGTAGTTATGCTCAGTCTTTTCTCTCAATTTCACTCCCTGTAAAGCCCCTGCATACTAATGGCATTCTCACCTTGCTTGGGGTGAAATGAATTAAAAAAAAAAAAAAAAAAAAAAAAACTAAATTTTGATCTTGGGGTTCCAAGCTTAACAATATACTCAGAACTATCACCAAACTTACCATCTTGAAGAAGATAATTGCAATAGTCATTTTGTTGAAAGGATAAAATTTCTCTTTCCTATAAAGAATAGAACTTGAATGGTGTAAATTTTTTTTTTTTTTTTGCTATGTTTGTTCCTCTTCTATAATGCTTTCAATATTTTTACTGTCCTTTGTGGGAATTGATGCCCTGTCTCAAGAATTTAAATTCCAGATATGAATTTTTTTTTTGTTTCATAACCCAAATTGATGTTTGTGTATCAAATTGTTTTCTTTGTGTAATCACTGTTTAAATTTAGATTTATTTTTTTTCTTTCTTTCCAGCTCATTTGTGATAATTGGGATATCTTAGGAACACTTACCCAGAAGAGAAGACAAGAATTAGAGGTAAGTTCTTACCGGAAGATTTGTATAACTTTCAAGTGAATAGCCACCCTTCATATAAAGAGGTAAACATGGAAACGATGTTATTTGTTACATGACCCACATAGTTGTTTGTTTTTAGAAAATCTGTTTTTGAAATGTGAAAAATTTAGTCCACTCTTCATCTATCCTGTAGCAACAGTTGTCACAGACATATTAAATAATAAATTTAAACTTTAGAGTAAATCATCTATTTTGGTTTGTAGTGATCTTAATTTTTTTTTAATAAGAACTACAAGAAATGCACATTTGTCTATTTCTGAGTTGAGGTATTGTAATTATTTACATTGTTCAGAAATTCCAATCACCTGATGATGGCCAGAGCATACAATGGCCAAAACATTGTGAATAAAGATGAGAACAACAGTCCAAACAATGTAAATAAGAAATGTACAATTTATGAAAAATATTTGAAATTTGAAAGCAATTTTTCTTCATAAATTAGAAATATTATTAAAAACATAACTTTAAATATTAAAAATATAATTTTTTTATTGATTAAATACTTTAATATTCAATGATTTGTTTCAGACAATCAAGTTTAATTTGTTTATATGTGAAGGGTTGTTGAAAAGTTCTTAACCTGACTAAAAAGGTTTCCACACTAAAATTTGATGCCAGCTATATTTTGGGGAATGTGTTGTGATGAGATATATATGCATGGTGTAGTAAGGGATAGCGACTGGGATTGATGAATCAGAGAGCTGAGTTTGAATTCCAGTCAAGTTCATTATATTCACTTACGTGTGAATACCCTTGGGAAAGGTGTGAATCCATCTCCTCTCCCCACTCCCAGCTATGGATAAATAGCAGGACAGACTATAACTTTGGGTGATGAATGGTCTAGAAGGACAATTCTTAATTTAAAATCTTCAGAGGCTCGTTTTGGGACCTTGTGGCATACCGCACCAGTTCTCTGTATTCAGCTCTTCCAAAAAGTGTGGTTGGTTCCGCACAAGCCTTCACCATTATAATCAAATGATATGTTCAGGTAGTCTGGCTGTTGTGGTTCTAAGAACTGAACTGCTTGAACCTCATACATTGAAAATGATGGAAAAGTTGTGTGTGATGGGTTCCAACTCAGTAGTGATTTATGATATCAAGCAATGCATGTGCATTAAATTTTTAAAGTAGAGAAAGACGTTGCACTGGGACAATCCCAGTCTCTAAGCAAGAACATCACTTGATGCTGTCAAGCTGTAGATGTAACATCAGTTCCCCATTTTAATGAAGGCAAAAGGATTGAGCACTCCCAAGGAGCTTACTGTGCACCTGAACACAATTCAAGCATATTTCTACATCCCATGTGCTAGATATGCATTGATCCCATGAATGTGTTTATCCACAATTTGATAGGTCTTGTTTTTAATCCTGTTCGCTTTCTAACCATTCTTCTCACTAGAAAAGTCTGGTGGAGAAACTAGTTTAGTTGCTGAAAACCTGACCAGTACTATTGGATTATGTGATAAGTGACTAAACAGCTTATATAGTAACTCAGTACTACCTGCTATATTATATAAAATTTTAAGATGTGTTATATTTGTAAGGTAAAAGTGTTGAATATCCGGTATAGAGCATCTGTAAATATAAGTGTGGACACTGATATCAACTATGGCGATAGTTTGTTTCATGCTTAAATACAATCTTCAGCACTGGTTAAAAAGAAATAGATGCAAGTATAGACAAGGTTTTTGATCCAACCATCAGACTAAAGTATGTAAAGTAATTGAGTAAATTTCAGATTTATTGGTGTTGTTTTCTCTAATGTTTAAATGAAATCCTGTTAATATTTCTTTTCTTTTTATTAAAGCAAGCTGAAAGAGTCTTGGAGAGGATAGATCAGCTCCACTTGGAGTTTGCTAAGAGGGCTGCTGTGAGTATGACCTTTGTCCTTTCATTTGTTAAAATATGTGGAAAGTTTAATAATAGATTGTAATCCAGCTCCTGTTTAATAAAATGGAATTTGTTTTCATTTCACTTTCAATTCTCCATCATTATTAAAAGAAACAACTTTCTATTTTCCTGTTGCCTTGTCTCTATTTTTTTTTTCCTTTCAACTTGTTCTTGGTTTTCTGTATTCTTACTTTTTATCTTTTTCTCAATTAACTTTGTTTCACTTTCCTTTGATTTTACTTTCCTTTTTCATTTTACATTAGGGTGGGGGTGGTAAATAAACAGTTTCCATTAATTCTAAATGATTTTGTGGGTAGAGAAAAATGGTCTTGTTGCTTAAGACAGTGGTATTTGGGAATTTTAAATCTTGTTGAAAAAGAAACAAAACTTTTCAATTCAAACTTTTTCTTAGCCCCTATTTTTCAGTTTGCCTTTCTTCACTTTTCATTATTAACAATACTTCCATTTTCTAGTACTCTTTTTTTCTTTTTTTTTTTTTCTGTAAAACCACTTTTCCTTTTTCCACCACCTCCTGGTATTTCTCCCATCTTCCATTTTGATTCACAAGAAAAGGAATTTGACTTCTTTTCCTATTGTTTTCTTTGTCTTCTTCTTCACTGACCTTTTTTCAAACAAGGTTCACAAGCTAACATCTTTGCTTCCTTATAAATCAAGCATTTATAAAATCAGTCAACTATAAAATCATTCTCAATGTCACATTGACTCATCACTCATTAATTAACAAATAACTGCCACTGCTGCCTTTCATCAATTTTATTTCTTAATAAAAATGCTTGCTCCCTTTATGACAAAAAAAAAATTAATTTTCTTTTTTTAAGTCTAATATTTTACAAGTTAAAAAAGGAAAAGTAATGAAATTAGAAAAGAAATGGTGACTCCCATTTTGAAAACCTGAAATAATTAGCCTTTTAATTACGGTTTCTGTGACCCCCTTATATATTAAATCTGGATTAGCAGCTTAAAAAGTTGCAAGAAATAAAAAGAAAATTTTCTTCATGTCTTGATTATACTGTCATCAGGAAATGGATGAAAAGATATTGCAATTTTTTAATATTTAAAAAAAAAAAAAAGAATTCAGCTTGAGTTTACAAATAAGGTTTTGAATTGACTTTACTTTTGAGATGTCCAAATGTAATTCTTTTTCTGTCTATTTGAAGTCTCTTCCAAGAAAACTAAAAAAAAAAAAAAAAATACTGAACATGGTTTTAACCGTTATTTTTGTTTTTTTTTTATTGACATACTTTCAGTGTAATACTATGATACCTCAATGGTAATATTAGCTGTTACCTTATAAGGAAACAGTTAATATTATCATTATCATGAAAACAACTTGACATTCATTGACTAAGCAGCCAGTAGCATTGTCTCTTATTTCATAAAACAGTTTTCAAGAAAATAAGTTTCTCAAATTCGTTAATTTTTTTTCCCTGTATTGATGGAGGCTTCCTTCATAATCTTTTGTTTTAAGTAGTTTGGAATGTTAACATCTTGATTATGTTATTAATTACATGTGATATCAATTTTAGCTGTTGCTGCTGCTCTTGAAAGTCCTCAAGTGACGTGGTTTCTGTTAGCCAACAGAGTAGAAATTTAAAAATTTGTATGTTCATGTGTATTCCAGCAATTGTACATTCAACATTGAACACTCACTCCACCCCCCCCCTCGTATAGCGGAATGTACATTCACATGACACAATTCATTCCCGAGTTCACAGTCTTGGGTAGCTTGTCCTAAGGAGCCAAAATAGAGTTGTCCATTTGATTATGTTGTCATTACACCTTTTTCACTGGGATCCTCGGGTTCATTTTACAAAAGCCATCACTCTGATACATTTATGTGACCATATAACTTTTATCTTTTTAATTGTTTAATCCCAAGCAAAGCAGTAAAGCCACTAAGACACAAAGTGGTTACTGTTTGTGAAAGAATAAGAAAAAGAGAAATGTTATTAAGGAGTGAGTACAATAAAAGAGGAATCAAGGAGACGGTCAATAACGATTGATATTGCATTTAAATTTTTGAAGATCAAAGTTAACGATTGAAGAAAGTTCAGCATTTAAATAGAACTTTTTGCATCTAGAAAATTTCAACTGTAAATTGACAAACCTTTGCATTTCTAAACATTTTTTGGTACTGATGCACTTTGTTTCTGATATATTTTTAATCAGACCTACTTACTTTGCATTTCATATTAGTCTAAAAAAAATAAAAAAATAATTTAACCTGGTTTAAGTAAAATTCAAAATTACTAGTATGTATAATAGCAATACTTCTACATTCATTTCTAAACATTTTTGTCTCCCCCGCCTCCACTTTCATAGATACCTGAGAAGTATATATGATTCAAATAGCATAAAATATTTTTGAAACTGTTACAGAAATTTAATAAATTCTAGCTTTGTGTTTCATCTACTTTCATATGGATAACATTTTCGAGCAGCTTTGATGAAAGTGACATAAAATGAATTTCTCAATTTTTTTTTTTTTTTTTTTTCAGCCTTTCAACAACTGGATGGATGGCGCTAAAGAAGATCTAATGGACATGTTCATTGTTCACACGACAGAAGAAATCAGGGTAAGTAACTCTGCTTAATCAATCAGAAGTTGTCTTAACTTTTCTTTTTTGGGGGCACTACAAATCCCTACCATCTCTAGGTAACTTTTTCTGAGACTTAAAAAGTGAGTAAACTATTTAAGGTCTGATCTTTCTGCAATTTACCAATAGTGAAATAATTATCTGTTATATCCTAAATATTACAAATATATGAACTTTGACTCCATGAAATGGGTCGCTACTTTGTAGCGCTTTCAGACATTACTACATTCATAGTAAAATAGTATAAAAATTATTGCTCAGAAATGCAGGAGAGAATAAGAATTCTTTTTCTTTAAAAAAAAAAGAAATTTCCTTCTTGAAAAGAATTTTGAATTCAAAATTCTACAAGGAGGAAATCTCTTGACCTTCCAAGATGGTTCCTTTGTCGGGTTTTGTTTTTAATCCTTCTGTGTGTCTAGCCACCCTGCTTACAAGAAAAATTTTGTGGGAGATCCGGTTTAGGCGCTGATGACCTGATCATTTGGCAAGTAGTTAGTTTTAGTGGCATATTGACTCCTTATTGGTCATTTAATGCTGAAATTTAATTTTCTTGGAAGCATTATTAATTTCTTTTACAAAATTGTATTGCTGGTATTTTTACTATAATTCTTTATATACTTTCATAGTGTTTTGACTCCAGTTTGGAGGTTAACTATTTGCCCATAACTGAGGCCCTAGCAGGTGCTACCACCCCAGGTCAGATTGGACCTGGGAATAACTGCTATTAAGAGGTGGTACCACACTACACAAAACCTCCCAATCAGAGGTCTTGCTGCCAGATGTAGTTTGTCATACCCAGGATGGTTGTTAAGTAATATTGGGTTACATGGTATCAGCAGGCATATAACATAATTATATATATAGGCCAGCTTGAATTCTTCTTTCTCTTTTGATTTTGATGGGAAAATAAAAAATAAAATGTTTTAGCATTTTAATTTTTTCCAGTGTTTTGGTTTAGGAGTCTGGGAAAGAAGACAAGATTTAGAATCTGTCAGTATTCCTTTATTCCATACTATGGATTTACAACACTTCCATATTTTAGCTGTTTTTTTTTTTTTTTTTTTTTTTTAATAACCTTGAATGGATAACTTCAGCCTTCTTAAAAATCTATTTTTTGACAATTGATGCCAAATACAATTTTTTAAAATTGTTTCTGTATCAGGATCTCATCCATGCTCATGAGCAGTTCAAGGAAACTCTGGGTGAAGCTGACAAAGAAATGAATACTATTGTCTCCTTGGAGAACGAGGCCAACCGACTTGCTGCAGAGATTGGAATTGGTGTTCCTGAGAATCCTTACACCGCCCTACTCGTGTCTGTGAGTCTCATAAAAAATAGTTTTTACACCGTATAATTTTTTTTTTTTTTAATATAAAAAAAAAATAAAGTCAGTAAGATGCAAAAGGTTATAAAGTTTGAAAAAATCTAAGAAAAAAAAAACGTATTAAGGAAAGAGGTAAGTACAAGAACAGGAATTAAAGAGATATAAGACTGAAATTGCATTCCAACTTTTAAAGATCAAAATTGGCTAAAAAAAACAAAAGGGCAAGTAGAGTTCCACAAGCAAGAACTGTGAGAAAAAAATCTATTAGCATAGAATTTGATTAAACTAGCCATTTAACCTTATCACCAATCTAGTACAGCACTTAACAAAGAGGAGAGCTCATCAAAACAATTACCATGAAAATATTTATAGAAAAGGTAAAGGGAAGCTATGTTAGGGTGGGTATGAAATTTACTCAAGTCTGATTACATTGCATATTCTTCCTTGGATTTTATCAAGAATCTCTAAATACATAAAATTTACAATCAAAATTTTGATGTTACCTTAATTTAATCAGTGTTCCTAGAAAACTTAATCAGTATGGAATATTTGTGTGCCGAAATGATTTTTAAAAGCTTCAAATAAATAATTTTCTCATGAATGGATTTTGCTATTTTAATGCTCATCATGTCTAAGATGTTTTTCTTTCTTTATTAAAATCTATATAAATAAAGCACAGTGTACAGTTGTTTGTCCATTTTTTGATCTCGAATCATAAACGACCTGAAGTAACAGGTAGTAACTAGTGCAGTTACACGTAATCAAAAATTACATAAATAACTCATTTAAAGTTAAATTTAAATATCGAACAGTGAAACATTCAAAAAAATTCTTTACTAAAGGTTTAACTTTAATTTCACTTTTCACCACAATTGTAATTGATATCTTCTAATTAAAACATAATTAAAACTTAAGCAGGTTACAGTATGTTGCTCATGGTTTTTTGTTTTTCTAGCATGCGTACTGTGATGTATTTGAAATATTACATAGTTCAAGTTCCTTAATTTCTTTAAGAGTGACTTTGTGAAGGGAGCATAAAGAAAGGTGATTTTTAAAAGAAAAATTACACACAAAATAAATGTAAAGAAACTACAGAGATTGGTTGTATATACAAAGAAAGATTATGCCAAATTACATTAAATATAAAATAATTTTATTAGTTCTAAATTCTTTTACCTACATAGGGCACTGAAAGTAAAAGGCCTAAAGTCCACCTAAAGAGTGGCTTCTATGCTAGTCTTGAATAAAGCAAGTATTAAAATATGTGCAATAAATTAAAAATTAATTCATTCAAAATCTTATCGGCATTGAAACCTTTATTGTTATCATCATCGTTACCTTAAGTCTCTTCCCAAATTTACTTCCTGAAAATGAATTTTATAAAATCTCCAAGTCAAAAAGTGAATACAACCTTTTCAAATAATCTTCCAAATGATAAAATATTTGTACAGTTTAAAATGTATATTTTTCAATTGTGTAATAATTTTCTAATGATCTGTTTCTGATTGTGCTTAACAGCACTTAACCCACAAGTGGTCTGAAGTGAAAGCCCTGGTCCCCCAGAGGCAACAAGTCCTCCAGCAGGAAGAGCAGAAACAGATCAACAACGAACGTCTGCGTCAGCAATTTGCTGCAAAGGCTAACGAAGTTGGACAATGGATTGAAGTTCAACTTGACTCCGTGGCCGCCATCTGCGTTCAGACGAAAACTTCTCTGGAAGATCAGCTCATCAAACTCCAGCAATATGACAAAGCTGTAGCTGCATACAGACCAAACATGGATGATTTGGAGAAATACCACCAGGTAAGAACCACTTTTACCTGCCTCTTGACCCTCTTTACAACAACAACAATAATAATAATCCCTAGTCTGGATATTCTTTCTCTATTTACCTCTATTATTTTTCTCTACATTATTTTAAAATTATGATTACAATTTGTTTTTCCAGCTTGTCCAGGAGGCTATGATCTTTGAAAACAGGTATACTCAATACACCATGGAAGTAAGTATCTTTGTTTAACTTGTTTTCTTTTTTATTGGAGTTAAGCAATATCAAGCCTGGTCAGTATCTAGATGACTAACCGCTTGGGTATACCAAATGCTGTAAACTTAGATGTGCAGGAGGTGTAATGGATAATGGCTTTCAATTATTAATGAGAAAGCCAAGTTCCAATTCTATTTGGGTTTGTTATATTCACTTATGCCCAAATACTCTTGGGAAAGCGTATGAATCTACCTCTTCTCCCTTTCCTCCAGCTATGGGTTAAATAGTAAGACTTTAAATAACCTGAAAAAGATAGATAAGCTGTAGAAAATGAATGAATCAGTCAATCTCATTTCAGAGCAAGAAGTGTAGATTCACTCTTTTTCCTAGAGCACTTGTGCCAGAGCTTCAGGCTAACTTTTTCACCCACCTCCTAGAACCATTTCAAAAAATGACTTTCAGATGAAAATCAGAAATGATTTAACTCTTATCATTTATAATTGTTAGTAAAGTTAAATTTCTACTTTTTAAGTTCATGTTCAATAAAAAGTGTGTGTACGTATGTTTTTATTTATATATATATATATATATATATGAACTTGTAGCATATAAGTGAACCACATGTTCAAAAAAAATGCAGAAATGGTGGGTTCCTTTCTCAGTGTTCACTCAGGGCTGAAAGCGACACAAGGGAGTCAGTGAAAAACAGACACAAGACAAAGGATTTCAAAAGGAAACATTTATTTACAAATATAAAAACAAATGAAGGGAAAAGGATCATAAAAAAAACAGAAGGTACAAGCAAACACATACATATAACAAGATCAAGCCAAGAAATCAACTTATCTGTCGATGAATCTGTTGGGTTGATATCTCCACACAGTTCTAATTTGCCAAAGCAAGAGCCATTATGCAAAAACAAATTTTTGGGTGTTTTCCTGGAGTCTTTTCTTTCAGAATGGCCTGGAATCCTCAGTAATGTGTACAGGTGTTCATTGGTCAATTCAGTTTAGTATATAGTTAACTTTTAATTTTGTAGTCAACAGACTTGGCTGTTTTCTTTATTCCAGTGGGCGGTCCATTAAGAATTGGAGTCCTTGTCCTTGACCGGGTACGCAAGAGGATGGGGTGCAAATCACAGTGTGTTTGCATGATGGCCAAAGATCCAAGCAACCTTCAATAGGGTCTGATCATGAGATTGCAGCAGGGCAGTCTGATAGTGCCTGGAGTTAACTCGTGGTCAATCACCTGATGGCCACATCATTTTGGAACCAGGTCATTCTCGGGTTAGTTCACAGGTCCTTGGTATGAGGGTGGAATATAAGGAAAAATGGAAAGAAACGGAAGAGAAAAGAAAAGGAAGGCTGATCATAGAACACATTCGCTTGCATGTTGAAAACATTGAATTTTATTTATTTTTATTTATATTTATTTCTCTTTCGGCCTAGGATTTAGGATTAATTATTGGGGGGGAGGGGGCTTTTTAGCCATGTGCCTCTATGACTAACGGAATCGTAGGTACATCACTAATATATATATATATATATATATATATATATTGTGTGTGTTTGTGCAAGTAGCATAATGGATAGTGGTTCAAAATGAGAAATTGCCAGAGAGCCAAATTGAAATCCGTCGAGTTTGTTACAATCCTTTACATATGCAAGTACTCTTGGGAAATGTATGAAACCATTCATTCTCTTCTTTCCCCTCAGCTATGGGTTAAATAGAGCAAACTGAGCTATTCAATCTTGCTTGGCAACAGGTCTAGCAGAATGCAAACTTTATAGCACCAATCTCATTGCTAATCTTGATCTCACATCTGCTTGTTTCTGAGATTCTTAGCATTGGTTGGTATGAGTCGTCATTATGTTGTGCAAGCCATTCATAACAATAATCTCAGTACAGGCATTGCTTGTCAGCAAAGGTCTTACTCATCTAACTGGACAATAGCCATTTTATCTATCTTATCTATCATTCATATATATATATATATATATAGAACAATAAAATCCCAAATTACCTCATATAGGGAATAGCCTATTTTGGTAGACAAAGATATTGGTTGTCTGTCTTATCAATTCATTGTGGACTGCGTTTGTGTCTATACACTTAGGTGTGCGTGGGAGGGAGACATCAAATAGAATTTAACTGTGTTTAAGAAGTTAGAGGAAAGACACGAGGCAGGTGTCGGGGCGGGGGTTATGGAAGTTATTTGTCTTAAAAGGAAGTTCTATAAAATTAAACCCGAATATTAAACTTATGATATATACACACACATATACATGCACGTGTTTATGTAATTGTATTTGAAACAGAAATGAGACAAATTGTCAATAAATAAATTTGCCACTCTCATCTTCACACACACGGCACATTGGTTTCTCAATAAGCACTTTGCATGATTTTTTTTTTTTATATACCATGATTCCCTTCCTTATTGATTCACTTAAGACTTTTGCATAGATCATAGGGATTGAACATTCAGTTAATAATTGTCGATCTACAGACCAACACAACATATATATGCAAGGGTGGTTCAGTGTCAATAATTCTGTAGCCTTTCAAGGTTGATAATGAGTGAGAGCTGAAAAGTTCTCTGCCCAATCCTTTTCCCAAAATCTGACCAAGCATTGGATTTTATAATTTTTTTGACAAAGATTTCTGGATTGAACCAAAAACTTTTTGGCAATCACCAACCTACCTATATATATATATATATATATATATATATATATATATATATTGTGTGTGTGTAACATATAACATTTTGAATTTTCCAAAAAAAAAATTAATTATTTGTACCGACTAAAATTAAATATTCCCCAACCACCACCACCAAGTTTTTGCAGAGATTACATTTGTCAGTGGTGGGTTTGTTAGTAAAATTGAATTGAATTCAATTTTACTAGCACAACTGCTGATGAGTGGGTGTAATCTCTGTTTCCTTTTGTTTGCATGCACTTTTGATGGAATTGCTTTCATTTGCTTAAGATCTTATTGTGTCAGATTGAAGATGGAATTTGCTGAAGTCTTTCACTTGAATAGACAAAGTTGTGGCCACTTGACATTAACTTTGGTTTGATTTGATGCTTATTATTCTTATCTGTATGGTAAAAGTTATGGCACAGGAGTTTAGTGATGATGACAATTTTTAATCCTTTCTACCAATATCTGGTATCAATTAAAGAAAAATTAAAATTTGCTTTTTGTTTTTTCTTTGCAGACTTTGCGTGTGGGATGGGAGCAGTTGTTGACTGCCATTGCTAGAAATATCAATGAAGTTGAGAACCAGGTACACTTTTTTTTTTTCTGTCTTTGCTTTCATTTTTCATATATAATTTTAAAAAAAAATCAAAACAATCTCTCTAGTGATAGGATTAAAAGAGTTACAGGAAACCATTAAATAAAATTAAATTCACAGAACTTGTTTATGTCTATTAAGCAAAAAAATTAAAAGATACAACCCATTTTCCAAAAATTTAGATCCCATTCACTAATTCTCTTTGTGAATTGCTTGGTTTCAGTCAAATCTGGGACAAGGTTTCACAATGTGATTAACAAACTTACTATCAGTTGCTTGCTTACCTCTTTGTTAAACCTCATAGTATGTAGGAATTGAGACTGTTTACAAAACCCAGTATGGCGCAAGGCGTTATATTTGGAGCTCTTATTTCTGTCAGTAGTATAAGAGAGCATCAGGCTCATGGAGTTGGAGTCAGAAGCAATTAAAGGGTCACTGAAGTCAGCAAAACTATAGCGACCCCAGCTCTAGTTGAATATTACACTTTGTGTAAAAAGTCTTACATTAAAGAATTTTTATTATTTCTTCTACTGTATATTCACCATATCCTTTACAGAAATTCATCTTAACTTCTTTTTTAAAGTTGTTTTATTTTTTGTAGTTATTTTGTATTTGCAAAACTATATATGACAAAAAAAAAATCTTACATCATAGAATTTTTATTTTTGTTATATTTTTTTACATTCTGTAAAAGATTATATTTCAACTATTATAAAGTAATTTTATTTTTGTTCTGGACTTAGTTCTTATTTGCAAAGATACACACACACACACACACACATATATGTAAGAAGTCTTACATTAAGACAATTGTTAGAAAATATTGAAGAATGAATAGGTATGATATAAAAGCCACAATGTCTTTATTCTTTGATATAAACTAGTTATAATGATATAGTCCTACTTAAGTTAGAAACATATGCACAGGCTTTGAGATTTGTAAGCCATAATCACTTAATTACATAAAGTGGAGTTGGAATTGAAGGTGTCAAAAATAGAGAACTCGGAGTCAAAAGATTTGTGTTCAGACTCCACAGCCCTGGAGAGCGGCACACAAACTATTGCTCTCCAATCTGGACTTTTTGCTATTCAAATAGACTTTCATTTGTCTTTGTTTCAATTTTCTACTCAAACAATATCAGGGTAAAGCAAATTAGATTTGTAGTCACATGACATAATACACCACAAAAAAAAGCATACATTTCTAACATTAATTATTTTTCTTTTGTTCATATTATTTACATTCAGATTAATGGTTTCATCTTTATTGTTATAATGTTTCAGCTGTTGTACTCTCCAGCCTTCATCAGGTGTATAACCTTTGGGGAATTAAGGCCTGAGGTCACAACAGCTGAAAAGTTTTGACAATAAAAACCAAGATAAGGATATTAGTCCAAATGTAAATAATAATAGCTCCTCATCCTAGAAACTCAGATTTTTTTTTTTTTTTTTTTTTTTAATACTTATCAAAAAGTGACAGTTGAAATTTTTAGGGCACATAATGAGGAAAGAGGGTTTGGAAAATTTGATACTCATAGGACAGATTGAAAGCAAGAGGAACATAGAAAAGCTATGCATAACCTATCTAATGAGCATGAGTAAATGGATGGCAGAACAGGGACACAACCTATCTAGTGAGCTTGATTAAATGTATAGAAGAACAGGGTTTAGGAGAGATGACAAAATTAATTAAGAGCTACAAAGAACAGGAAATTGTGGAGCACCATGATCACCAACATCCTAAAGAGATAGCACATAGAAGACAGTAGAAATATGAATTACTCTTAAATCACAATAATATTTCAATTTTGCAGTTTTAGAATATAATAAAAACTTGTCTTTTAATAATTTGTAAAGTAGATTGATAACAACTCCCTAAGTTCTTCCTGCAAATATTACAGCTCACATAATTTCTATGCAATGGATTTGACCCAGAGATCAATTTTATCAAAAATTCAAAATAAAGGTTGACTATATTTTTTTATCATATATATAGCAAATGCTTTGGCTACTTGTGTCAGATTTGAAAAATGATTGTCTTGTATGTTTGACAAAAAATGTAATATCTTAAATAAAAAATAAAATAATTTTTTTTTTTTGTTTTCAGATTCTCACAAGAGATTCTAAGGGCATTAGTGAAGACCAGATGAATGAGTTCCGTATGTCCTTTAATCACTTTGACAAGGGACGCACAAGGCGACTTGAACCCAAAGAATTTAAGGCTTGCCTTGTTAGTTTGGGTTACAAGATTCGTGATGACAAACAGGTACACATTTTCTCTTCCCTTATCACCAGTGATCTTTTTGCTTTTAACTTTTAGCACTCTGTATTATTATTATTATTAATATTACTTCCCTTTCCACTGCATTCTTTTTCAAGGCCTCTCAATTGCAGTATCCTTGTTAATATCACTCAAAGTAATTTTCTGTTGCCATAGAAGGATATGACAGCACAACTATGAAATTCAAACACTCACTTATTTGGCATCAGTCACCTTCAGTGGCAGGACAAACTTTTTGTACAACAAATGATGTCACATACAGAGTGCTAAAGGTTAATTTCTATAATTTGGTTTTTGTATGTCTATATAAGCCTATGTTTTCTTAAGTAATTTTAGTAATATTTTTGGCTGTTTCAATTCTTCAAAAGTAAATTTTGGTAAATATTTTGCAAGAAACAATATTTACTTTTTAATTTCAATTTAAAGAACATAATTTTGTCTAAGTCACAACTAAATATGAGTTTAAAAAGAACATTTTGACATTGAATTTGTCTATAACAAAATGCCTTTAAAGCTCTCATGATAAGTTGTAATCGATGCATTTATTTTCAATTTGTCAGGGTGAGGTCGACTTCCAGAGAATCATGTCAATCGTTGATCCCAACGGTTCAGGCTTTGTGTCCTTTGATGCCTTTTTAGACTTCATGACAAGGGAAACAGCTGACACCGACACCGCTGAACAAGTAATGCAGTCATTCAAGATCTTGGCTGGCGACAAGGTAAATTTCTTTTACCCTCTTGCTATTTCAACATTTCTTTAAATTAAAGTTTCATTTGACATTATTTTTTTTCTTCATGAGTCACATAGTGAAGAAGAATCTTATTAGTATTTCTACCAAGGCAGATGTTGTTTTTTTTCTTTTTCAATAGCTAAGGCAAAAATGTATGTGATCTGTGCAACCTGAGTGAAATATTTTTAAAGGTCTTTTTTCTTCATCTTGCCTTCTCTCTTTTTCTCTGTACTCTTTATCAAGCTAAGCCAAAAAGAAATCCTAAACAAGGCAAGGTCTTCATTCATGAGGACTTTGCAATATTGCCGTTATTTCTTTGGAAATGCTTTTAGCTGAATATCAGATCTAAGTTTTTCTATGATAAAAGGAAAAAGTTATTGTTAAATAGTTTTAAATATGAATTGAGTTGATTTACTGATCCTTTGATCCAATTTTTCCCAGGTGCCATGGGAAAATGCTTCTTTACCTTTTTCTTTTGGTGGGAGCATGTTTAACACTGCTAGTTAGTTCCTGCACCCTCAGGTTTATAGTTGCCACGTGCAAGGTAGCAGAGAAACGTTGTGTGTGAGAATTTGAAATCCTATGGTGTCTCTCCACTGGCTTTTCAGCCTGAGGCTAATTGGGATTGTGCTAATAATTTCTTCCCAAGTAAAACCGTGTACATGACAAAAACAGCCAACAGACATTACTGTTGTCTCTTTTCTCAAGCAAAATGACCACTTTTCAATTTGACTCATAAGAATTTCAGATTTGATTAATGAAAAGTACAACAAAAATCTGATTATTGTTTCAGAAACAATAAAGGTGATAGAATTTTACTGAAATTTCTACTAAACTCACTAGAAATGCCTACGTAGATTAAGAGTGTCAGGCATGCATACGTGCGTACACCCATCATGGTCAGCAGTGCAGGAAATGGTATTGATAATTTCAGATGAGGAGGATGCGTTCACATTGCATTAATCCATCTCTTCTCTCTTCATCTATGGTTAAAAAATACTTGAGAAATTGGGCTTTTTAGTATTGATAGGGTACTTGATTGAGAAGGTAAACTATGAATTTAAATTCACCACCAATATATCATGGGCTAAGGCAAGGTGCATTCCTCTGCATGTTATTTTATAGGACCTTGAAAAAGTATATTTGAGGTGGAATGGGTGAAAAAGTTTTCGCTTGATGTTTGGTAATTTGGTCAGATTTTGGGTTGTTGGTAGGGTTGAGAATTTCTTTCTTTTTTCTTTTTTTTTTTTTTTTCTTTGCAACTTCCTCTTGCTGCTCTTGCCAGTGAAGGGTGTTTGTTCAGTTCATACGATACATCAGTATTGTGACATTTTTATATATATATATATATATATATATATATATATACACACACACACACACACAGGGTGGGGCAGAAAGTTTGCCCCGATTTCAAAGGTTGTTAATAAAAACAAACACATGATCATAGGAGGATAAACTTTGTTCTCCACTCCAGGCCATGGTGGGGTATTACTTGAAACAGAAAATAAATGGCATTTTATATATTTCATAGACATGCAAAGATTTTATTTTCATATGTTTGCTTTTTTATTTACCTTTAAAATCGAGGCAACCTTTCTGCCCCACCCTGTATATATATATATATATATATATATATAGTTATAGCAGATGCTTCTTATTTGAAATAGATACCCCATTTTTATTTATTAACTATTGTGTAATGACTATAAACTAGTGTGTAATTAGTGTAGCATTTATAGGCCTACACATTCAAGAAATCCTAGTAAGAAAAATGTCTTCTCTGACAGGGATTAAATATGCATCCCCCTTTGTAGGGGAAACTACTGTTTGATCTAGTATGCTTTAAAAAAAAACTTTAAAAAAAAAGTGTAATTTTAAAATTAGAATATAGAAATCACAAATTTTTTTAAATTTTGACAACTGGAAACGTTTCATGAAAATAGATTTGATAATGCATTTCACAATTCAATCATTTCAGATCTGATGAAGCCTTGAATAGCAAAATGCATTATGATAAAAATGATAATTTATGCTACACTATCTTTATGTAAAAGTTTTGAATATCAGGGATAGTGTATGTAAAGCCAGTGATGACTTCAGTGGCCACTAAAGTCACCACTGAACAACAACAGTCTATTTCATGCTGGAACACAGTTTTCATGCATTATGTGTTGGCTTGACTATATATGCTGGTCAGTGATGCATTATGGACAGTAAGGGCTATTATATTATCCAAACTGCTATTGGGTGGGCAGTAACAGTTATGTTTCAAATTATTCTATTGAGAATGTTGCATTGACATCCAGCTGTATGTTAAAATAGCAAAGGAAGCATTCCAAAAGCTAAGCAAAATATTAAGAAACAGGAAAATCTCATTAGAAACAAAAAGATTGCTGAACTACTATTGTGATATCAATCCTTATGTCTGGCAGTGAATGTTGGACAATCTCATAGATGATGAGAAAACTGGAGGCAACAGAAATGTGGTTTTACAGAAGGATGCTGAGAATACCATGAATGGAGTATGTAAGCAATGAGGAAGTTTTAAGGAAAATGAAAACAAAAATGACACTTATACACTAGAAGGAGGGCTTGGAGAATTTGATACTCACAGGGTATATTGAAGACAAAAGGGAAAGCAATGGGTCACCTAACTTGAGAGGTTTAGCAAAAGGACAAATGTTTCTAAGTACTAGAAGGGATAGGAAGTTGTGGAGAGCCATGATCGCCCATGTAGCACACAACCATCTCTACCACCACCACAAGAGGGAGAGAGGATGATGATCCCAATGCAACCAACAATACTCTTGCATGAATACAATTGTACAGGTGGTCTTGAATACAATTATTTGTGGATTATAATACACAAGGAACTGAGTGTATTAATTGAATTCATTGGTTGTTATCCAATAGAGGAGGTAGGTAAGACATACCATTTGGTGATGATACGGTCCAGGTAAAATTGTGAAGAATCTAAAAGAGCATGTTGAACAGTATCAGACATTAGTATGTCACCTTTTTTTTTCAAGAATGGATTGAAGAATGTTCTGCACATACATGACACTGTTCGACATTACCTCCACAATGGAGGGAACAACTGCTGGCACCCCACATCCTGATTCCAGACATTGAAGGGCTTATAGTCATATCACCTTGAAATGCTGGTCCTCGTATGATCACCAAAATACCTAGATGGCTGAATGCTTGAGAATACCAGATGCTCTAAGCTTGGATGTGCAGGAAGTGTAGTGGATAATGGCTAGAAATTGAAGAGCTGAGTTCCAATTCTAGTTGATTGTTAAATTCTCCTTGTATTAAACACACACACACACACACACACTCATATACATATATTACTTACTTTAGAATATTAAAGCAAAATTTGTTAAATCACTACATGATTACAATCATGTTTCAACATCACAAATGTGTCTCCTCAGGCAATGTCAAGCCACAGCAAAGCCCACAAGCCTTTTTTTATTTTTTTTATTTAAGTATTCTGCTTTTGAAATTAGTCTTTCACTCGCCAGTGGTTTGACATCGCCCGAGGAGATATTTGTGGTGTTGAAACATGATTGTAATAATGTAGTGATTTTTAACATCTTTTTGTTTTAATATCCAAAAATAAATAATATTTAGCTCTACTCTGTATTGAGCCCACTTTTAAATTAAATGATACGTACAGTGGAATTATACACTATTTGTTCTCATTTTACGTGAGGATATATATATATATATATATATATATATATATATATATATATAATAAAAGTAGTTTTTAAGGTATACTATATTTATGGGTTAAAGTGCTCAATATCAGGAATAAAGCAAATTATGTAAATATAAAAGTGGACATTCGAGGCAACAGTCTGTTTCATGCAAAAACACAATCGTCAGGCTATGATTGCATTTAGCATGAAACAGACTGTCACCTCTGGGTGTTGACTTCAGTGTCCACTTATGTACAGGGTGCAATGGATGAATTGTCAGCTAAATTATGCAAAAATGAAAATAACATATTTAAATTTACCAAAATTACATAATCTTATCTTGAAATAGTAAAGAGTAAATTTATTGAATAAAATTGACTTTGGCTTCAACCACGGCCTCCAAACAACTTTTATACTGTGCAGTCAACAAAAGCAAAAACAATGTGTATGTACAAAAATAAAAATTGCGACAATTTACCCATCACTTCCTCTCTCTGTGTGTGTTTAATCTCAAAGGATTAAACAGGGATTTGGGTTTATTCAGAGAATATAGTTTCCACAGGGAGCCCTCTAAACAACATTCCTCAGAAGTTTAAGTTTTCATCATCTGTTATTGTCAATATTTTGTTGTCTTTTTGTTTTAATCATACATATATGCACATTGAATGCTGGAAATAAAAAATAAAAAAAGTAACAGTGCTTGATTTAAAAGAACAGATTTCAGAGATAGATATATATATATATATATATATATATATATATATATATATATATATATATATTAAAGACATTTTATGTTTAACGTTCTTTTTTTTATAGATACAAGTATTTAAGATAAAAAGAACGTTAAACATTAAAATATCTTTAATAAATAAATTGTCGGACTTTGTCCATTTCTTAATATATATATATATATATATATATATATATATATATATATATATATATATATATATAAAAATCTTACCTTTTCTGAAAGAATTACCACTTTGCCAAGCCAACAGACAAACATGTTCAAACAAATATGTTGAAAAATCAAAAGAAAATGATCAAATCCATTATCTCATGCTTTTGAAGATGTACAGTGCTTACGTCCATCTGATACCATAAAATCTAAGCACTATCTCAACAATATTCATTTAAAAATATAAAATACTTTGAATTATGTCACTGTGTCCTCCACATGTTTTGACTGACCTTTCAGCCACCTGATGAACATTCATGAATGTTCTCTCATTTAAAAGCATTGATAAACAGATTTGCTCTTGTATAAAAACACATGCAGCAAAATAGATCCTACATTGCTTTAATAAAAGTCCCTGAGAGGACAAAACACATCAGCTAAGGATAAATATGCTTCTTTTCTTTTTATTCATTTTGTTCCTTTACAAATATACTCTATGTGAAAATTATTTACATATATTAAAAAGTAAAAAGGTATACATTGTTGTTGTTCCCTACTTGATGTTATTCAGTTTCATGCCAATCATCAGACACAATCAGTTTTAATCAATAATTTTATTTAGTTATAACTGTTTTCAGATACTTAAATTAATGGACGTTAATTTCTGTCTTTTCAGAATTACATCACTGCCCAGATTCTCCGCCACGAGTTGCCGCCTGAGCAGGCAGAGTACTGCATCCAGAGAATGGCTCCCTATACTGGAGGCGATGCAGTAGCCGGTGCTCTAGACTACATGTCCTTCTCCACGGCGTTGTATGGCGAGAGTGACCTCTAAATCTTCTACTGTAGCTGTCTCCAACCCCAGAAACCTCTACCTACTTACACTACTATACCTTACCACCCTCTGCATCCTCTTCCTCTTGAATTTTTCTTCCCACCTGCTGTTTTTTTGGCTTTCTTCTTCTTCTCTTCCACCTCATTACCGTATACTCTCCTCCCCACTCCCAGGGTAGGTTTAGTGATGGGAATGAGGATCGGGGTGGGTGGGGGTGATTTGGCACCTATCAGATGCTAATGCCAACCTTCAAATCTTGACCCTGTCTTTCACTCTCTTACTAGACTCTCTCTCCTTTGCTCCCCTCAGCCTGACACCCCTGCCTGTGTATGTTTTCTCTTTTCTTTTTTCTTTCTTTTTTTTTCTTTTTTTTTTTTTAAACTTTTAAAAGCGTTGTTTTCACTGGAGATGCACAATGTGCAGGTAGATGTGAAGAGACAAAAAGAGAAGGTTAACACTGATGAAGACAAAGATCACCAAAAGGAGGAGGATGGCGACGACGACGACAATTACAACATCGACAATAACAGCAGCAGCAATTATGATGTCAAGAGGAGCGGTTGTGTGAAGAAGAATTGTGGGGGGTGAGGAGGAGGAGGAGGATGGAGACATGGGCCCTACCCACATGCAGTTGAAGACCAGTCAGTCCCCCCCCCCCACTACCACCCACCAACCTTTGTTACTGCTATCATTTACCCAATAACCAAGCAATGGTTTAAAATGAAGACTGACATGCAAGCCACAGCAAAGTGATTCCCAGCCCCTACTCAACGACAAAATGAACGGCAATTTTAAATCTATATTCAGATTGTATTTTTTATTACGATTTACTCCTGATATGTCGCCCTCTCCCATACCCTCGTCTTTTTCTGTCTCTCTGGCTGTCATTTATTTTCCTGCTCCTTCTTTTTCAAAAGAAACAAAATCAAAATTATATTTAACTACAAAACCTCATCAACTGACTACGATAAAAAATTGAAAAAAAAAAAAAAAATTTAACAAAAACAGATGACATCTAACGACTTCTACAAAACTACCACCACCATGATTATTATTATTATTGATATTATTATAATTATTATTAAAGAAAATTAACTGATTATAAAAGAAAGAAGGAAGACGAGGTGATTACTTTTTTTTTTTTTTCTATTTTTTTTCTTTATTAATTAAATTTAAAAATAAAATTATTTTGTACCCACTGTTATAAGTTTTTCTCTGTGTATAAGGGAGAGTGTTGATTGTATTTTTCCCAACCCTGTTGGCCATTTGGCTGCGTAAAGACTTCAATTCCCAGGTGACCATTGTACTAAATGACCCCACAGGGTTATGGAAGCAATAAATGTAAGGAAAAAAAAAAGAATTTTTTTTTTTTTTTTTTTTTTTTTTTATATATTAGTTTAATTTATTAGAAATAAAAGCAATTTGATGTTAAGGGGTGGGGTAGATGTTTTTTTTTTTTTTTTTTTTTTTCCTCCTGTAACCAGGCTGGATCTACAAAGGTTTCTATTTCTTTGCTGTTCTACCCATTTCTAGGCACCCAGAGAATATTTTATATCTGTTTGCCTCGCTCCCCATCCAGGGTTTTTGATAAGTAATCCAGGTTATGTCTGCAATCATGTTCAGGAGATGCACACAACTACGGCAGCAACTTTTTCGATGTCAGAACCAGGCAAGAGTGCTGTGAATTTTTTTTTTTTCCTCAGGGTTTTGGGGCAGACACAGTCAGAAAGGAAAAGACACAGACAGACAACACTGGAAATTTCAACACCTCCCCATTTTACACTCCACAAAGGAAAAAAAACAATTCTTAGAGGATAAATAAGGCTCAGTTTTTAGGGCCAGGTTTATCCTCTTTAAAAAAAAAAAAAAAATGGTTCCATTAAATTCTTGACATAAGATCATTTGTTTTTGTTTGTTTTTTTATGGTCTTATTTTGAGAGATATTTGGAGATTTTTTTTTTTTTTTTTTTCTCTCTTAGCAAAACCTGTTCAGAAATGATCTTAAATTTTTATAAACTTTCAATCAAAGAGTAAACAAGGTCTTCCATGAATAAAACAGCAGGTAAAGTAGAAATCATAAAATATTTCATAATTTAGAAGAAAAAAAATTATTTTACTTTTTTTTTTCAAAATTAAACAATATAATGATTGCATGTGTGTAACTTAAAATTTTCTTGAAACAAAATCTTTTTTTAAATAATCAATGCTCTTCATTCTCAAAATTAAAAACTTATCAACTCCTTCCCCACTTTCTCTTCTCCCATTTTATTTTTTTTTAATTTTGTGATTTATATTTTCCCTAAAATCCAAAAATAAAAAGGAAAGCTGATTTTAAAAAAAGAAACTGTATCCTTTGCCTATTTTCAAGCAAGCCAAAAAAAAACCAAAAAAAAAAACCGCAAGAAATGCAATGTAGGTAGATAAAAATGTAGGTAGACCCTCAACTAGATTTTGTGTGTGTGTGTACCTGCAACTCTGTTCTGGGGGGGGCAAAGAGGAGAGACTCTTCACCTACAACTACATTTTTGCTTTTTGGCTAACTCTCTCCTCAGGCAAGATGTTCCACATCTCTTTCTGTTTCAGATGTGTTAAATTGTCACCATCAAATTACATCTTCAGGTCTACCACTGGATTTTTAGTCACCTTTATTTCTCAATCACTTCACCATCCGTATTTTTTCAAATGGAAAAAAGACAAGACTCCACCACTTCATGGATTTTTATCTCCTTCAACAAAGAATGGCCGAAATATTGACAAAAGTAATAATGCTATAGTGACAACATGCTCACTGTCTTGCCATTTATAAAGTTTCAGGGATTGAAAAAGAAAAAAAAAAAAAATCATTCTTTTATAAATTTTGAGAATTTCCAGATCATCCATCTGGTGCTAGAAATCAAGTAATAGACTTGGAATTCTGTAAATAAAGACACGTCTGTCAGCTAAGATATATATACATGCATGCATGCATCTAGTTGGGAGATGAATGAAAGAAAAAAAAAAAATTCTTTAAAAAAAATAAACAAAAAAAGTCATTTTGTTTTTGTTTGTGTTTTTTTTTTTTATCCCCCCCCTCCCATCCAAAAAAAAAAAAAATTTATATATCTTAGAAAAATTGACTGAAGTGAATTTGATTTGTGAACAGAAAAAGAAAAAAAAATAGTTTTTTTTTTTTTTTTTTTTTTTTTTTTTTAAAAAATGCAAGCATCTGTAAATTCTAATGATGAAGTGATAAATTTGTGGCGATAAAAAATGCAATCTGGAAATTTTTCTAATTTGACCACTCAAAGGGACAAATATTGACCCCTAAATTTCTGTTGGCTGGATAGCCTGCTTCAAGCTCATTTTTTTTTTTTTTTTTTTTTTTTTCTTCTTCTCCCCCTAATTTCTTTGAACAGTTTTGTGTCAAAGTGCAGTGTACAGTTGCTTCTTTAAATAAGCAAGAGAGAAGAAAAAAATTAATTGGAACAAAAAATCCAAATATATTTAAAAAAAAAAAAAAAAAAAAAAAATAATTGACAGAAAAACTTATATAAAGTAATTTGAATGATAAATGAAAGTTGCGTCCGTGTTGTGATTTCTTTTTTCTTTCTATTTTTCTTTGTTTCTGTCAGTCCACTTAAATATATCTACGGTTCCTGTAAACTATTGGACATTTCCAATAAATGGATGTTTTGCATTGTTTTCTTTAATACAGAGAGAGATTAACATTGGTCCTTATTTCTATGCCTAATTACCATTTTTTGTAGCTGGGGTTCTAAAAAGTCTGTGTACTTTTTCGGTAGTATGTAGTTATCAGTGAGATCCATCTTTCTTTGAACCTTGTGGACTGCAAGAATTAAAATGGATAGCCCATGTAACTCAAGAAAATAACAAAGATGTTGATTTTGCACCCATCTTTAAGCAAAAGATGAAGAAGGAAGACCCTCCCCATCATGACTGTTGGAAATAGCCTTAAACAGTGAACTAAAGAAGCCTATTTTCCTGGAAAAATTATTTTTAATAGAAAATTTTATAAATTTCAAATGAAACTAGCACTGTTTGCTTGGTCAATGAATGTCAGATGTTTCCTTATAAGGAAATGGCTAATATTACTTTTTTCTGATTTTCAGCATGTTATAATAAAATCATTTATATGTATAATAATCCTAGTTAGTAATGTTTTCATTAATTCCTGATTTTCCTATTCTGCCTGACAATACCTTTTTAAAGTAAAATAATTAGCAATTTACATTATACATATAACTATCTTCTGTCAGTAACAATTGTATTAATTCCTGACCATTAGCAATATCTTCTGGTTTTCAATAAATCTCCATTGTAAAATCGTTAGTAATGCATTTACCTTGTACAGTGCTACTGAAAAGTCTTTGGTCACTTTAAGCTATTGTAAATTTCTATTGCCAGCTTGTAAATGAATTTTTTCCATTGCTTTTTTGTAAATGAAACATTGATTTTTATTTGTAGTTATTTCCCCTCCTAGTTATCTGATTGTCTCACATATTTCCTTTTTCAATCTCCAAAAAGGCCATACAAAACATCTTGAAATTTTCATTATAGACCTTTCGTTTCAAAATTCTGTATCTTGCTTGATTTGGGTGAGGTAGCCAGAAACTTTTGCACATCCATTTTGAGAGTCATCTCACATTGGTATGTTTTTGGCTTTCTCTTTTATGCTAACATTTTTTTTTCAACCCGACTTTGCTTTTCGACTCCTCCCCACCTCATCCAGTGAAAATTCTTGCATTGAAATGTTCCATTCTTTTATTGCTCAAAATTATGGCAAAAATTTTCAAAGAAACCAGGATGAAGATAGCCAAAAATATGTACCAGTGATCCATAGAGAACTTGGCATTTTAAGAAACGGTATTCCAGAAATCTTGTTGATGTTTCAAGGCACTGTAAGCATTTTGGACCACCCAAGGTGTGGTCACTCTCCAAAGGTGTAGTATAGGATTGTCAGTATCATACTCTTTGAGAATACAGACTAAAGTGAGGAATTCCATCTAAGAAACCAGCTTAAAATAAATTTAAAAAAAAAATTGAAAGTAAGTTTAAGGACGTTATGAAATTTGAGGAGACAAGCTTGAAATAATTGATGAATCTTGGAGATACATTCTGATCAACGAGTTTGTCAGAAGGCCAACAGGAAAGTGAAAATACCTATGTTAAATGATGAAAATGGTGAAGTTTCTACTTTTTTGGAGAATATGTGAAGTGATACTTCAAGAAAATTGGTTAAAAATGGTTTGAATAGTGCCACAAACATCCAGTTGTGTCAGGACAATTTGACATCAGACTTGGAGGAAGGTGAGATTTTTCTGAGCTCCATGTCACAGAACACCTTCAGCAAAACAGTCTCCTTGAGGAAGACATCACTGACTCGAAAAACTGATCAGCTCTTATCCGTGATTTAAATATCGGTTGAGGATGATGAAAGATTTGTATGCTTGCCTTTGCATGTCCACTAAAACGACTGCTCAAGGGAGACACCAGAATGTATTATAAATATACAGTAACATATTGAAGGAAACATTATATAGGGCGTGTCCCTAAAGTCTGGATACCCTAGAGCCAAAAATGCATA